ACTGAAATATGGAAATATAAACGAAAGTAGACCGAGCGGACCTAGTATATATTTTGTACAATTATTCTTTAATATTTTTTAAATTATCATTCCATCGTACTTAATTTGATGAACATTTACACATACTTTTGCGTATTCTTGATACGCCAGAATTTGCTAGATTTGCATGTTTTTTCGATAATCGCTAATAGAAACTGAAGATGGTTATTTTAATTCGCTTCTCGATAAGTATTAAATAAGTAGTTCCGCGAAAAGTAAGGAAAAGGTATCCAAGAACGTTTACATTGAATTTTTCAAGAAACGAGTAGAAAATGGTTCCAGGTAATTTCAAGACGAGAATCGAACTTGTTACCGAAAATCAATAGATACTCCATTGGAATAAATTATTACTAAAGTCCTTGAAACGGTGCTTCCCAAGTTCGATCGGGGGGGAAAAAGGGTAGCACGAAGAAATATTCTGCAAAGTTTCTTAGCGTGAAAGTATGTATCTGTTACCACAAATATCCATTGGTCTCTAAGGTGCTTTTACAGCGTCGAACGAGTTCTGTAAACGCTGTTATTCAAATTTCGGCACCTTTTCCACTCCGGAGGGAGGCGTTTCGACGCCCTCGAACGAGTACAGGCGTCAAAACTCAACTAACGTCGTTACGAAGTTACGATCGAAACTTTTTCTATGTTGTTCCGGAAATAAGGTTTATCTACAAAAGACCTTTGATAAAAAGGTTTCGCGACTGCACAGCCCTAACAATTTTGTCCCCAGAGCATTATTCGTTCAAATACTTCCTTTTTAATTCCTTCTTTTCCTAGTCCTTCGTTACCTCGCCGCCAGCAAGTAGAAATATTCGAGGAAAATATGTAATTAGATTTAAGAATAATTAAATTTTCTGGTGACCGGAACTGCTCGTAAAAACTGGATGAGTTAATTAAGGGAAGGCATCTAACACGACGTGAGACTTTATACTTGCGAAACCGATGAAAATTTACTGTTTACAATTATGTTTCGGTCGTCGAACGAAACGATTGTTAGTTATTAAATTACTCGAGCCGCATCGGTGAGTCGTTAGAAAGGAAACCTCCCGGGTTTACAGGCTCCGTCTGTAATTCGAAATAGCCAGCAATTTACGCTTGGATCTTCCAGTGTTAGCCACTGATTGGTCTCATAAGTAACGTTCGGAAAAATTGCAGTCCATACTCGAAGCAAATCAAACGTGCGGAATACGAATGAAAGAAAAGCGTTCTCTATTCCCGGCTCGTTAGAAAACGATACGTTTCCTCCGTGTTCCCGGGTAAGTGAACGGAGACTTCTTGCCACGTCGAGGGAGCGTTTTGGTCTAGACGGTCATTTTTACGAATTAAAACAACTATCGTACCCGACGCGTACCATTAAAATTTTTCACAAACATTTATTCGTACTTCGACCGATCGAAAAGGACTCAAACTTTTAAGATACAATCTCGACTTGAAAAATTCGCAAAAATAGACGAGAATGTATATCGAAATTTTATACTTTAATATTCCCAGTTTGCAATCAGATTTAATTATGAGGAAAATCGACCCATTGATATAGCGATAATTATCACCGTTTTCTGATTCTTCTGCTACACAGGATAGGATTTCGGACGCAGCTATAAAACTTACGGGTATTTTGATCAAATGTGAAGTCGAAGTCATATATAGCCTTTAGGCATAATGGGATTGATCGACGTTTAAAACAGTTCGACGGAAAATTGAAGGACTTTCATACAAAACACGCTTAATCGATTAAAGCGTATCTTGAATGAATCCAGTATTGAAAACCAAACAATTGAAAATCGATCTCTCGATATTCTCCGCGATAACACGATAGTTGTGGTGCTTGGAATTCCCATTTTAAATCACGGATGTCGTTTTATTTCTGCGTATACCGCGAACCTTTGTTTTCCGTTTTTTAAATGTAAACACTACATTTCGTACAGATAACGAATAATTCACGGTGGCACACATTCGAGACTCAACAATTGCCTAGAAATTTTTTATTCGAAATCTTCGCGTACGCGTGTATAAACATTTTTATATTTTCATTGTTACCAGAAATGCTTTTATACTTTTTGACAATGTTCTGAAATTGCCAAGCACCGAGAATGCCGTGGCACAATAGTTCTAGAATAATGGACTTTGAGTAGTACCGGTTGAATGACATCGTTTCACGATACGGGGTGAAGCAACATAATAGGCACGAAATAAAACCAAAAGATAATACCTTTGTAACCCTTGAATCGTAATAAAAATATATTTTTTCGCGATACTACAATATTAAAGGATTCGTTTACTTTTTTTAATTTAGAATAATTTTTTAATGGCGACAAATGTGCTACGGTTTAGTATTTAGAAGAGCTCGATGTAGAGGCTAATAAGAAATCATTTTTAAAATAGATTTACTCCACGCTCGCGAATCCTTCGTTAAACAGAAAGGGGAGAACGGTACAAATGCAAAAAACGGTAGTACAACTGGAATCTGATCTAGAGAGAAGGCATCGTCGGACAAAACATCCACGCGCCCCATTCGTCGTTCGAGGATTGTTTGGTAAAAGCGTTGATAAAAAAAGCAAACAAGGGACCTACCGAAAACAAACTGGCCGCCACGCGAGCCGCCCGTTAAAACGTCGTTACGGGATTGGCGACAAAGGAGGGGCCCTGATTGGCAAAAGAAAAAAATGGCGCACGAACGGTAGACGCATCGAACTCCTTTACGCGTTCGAACAAAAAGCTAGACGGCAGGGGCGAACGCACAGAGAGAGAGAGAGAGAGAGAGAGAGAGTGAGGAAAAGAGAGGGCCAGCGTGAAGGGAAAACGCGAAAGAGGGTGCAAAATAAAAATCCTTGCCAGCGTCAGTTTTCGTGCTTTTGCGCGAGAGCATTTCCCGCGGAAAGGTGCTTATTTAGGCCAGCCACGCGCGCGAGAATAAATATCAAAGGCAAGTGCGTTTCTTCGTCCTCTCCTGCTGCTACCCTGCCTCCTTCTCCTCCTCGTCGACGCCCTTTTCGCCTCTTCCTTTGCTCGCCTCGGCGTTTCTCTACCCTTCGCGTCACCGACTCGTTTTCCTCTTCGGCAGCGCGCGGCCTGTGAAGTCGCGACAGGTGGCGCGCACGTCGAACCGTCTGAAAATTTTCACGAAGCTCGTGACTTACCCAGTGGCCGTTCGGGTGAACGTTTTCCAAGGTACTTCGAATCCGCTAACCGTCTGCTGAGCGGAAAATGCACTTTTAATTGCACGTCAAAGTCAAAGCGCCCCCAACCCCTAGCCTCGTATCGTGACACGCAGTTCCGCCAGCTCGTTCGTTCCCAGTTTTTTCCCTCCGACCCCCCTTCGCCCCTCCTCCTCAGCCACCTCAGTGCTGCCCTCTTTCTCCTTCCTTATCATCCTCGCTCTTTCCACTTTCCCTTTTGCTTCCTTGCTTTTTCCTTTTCCCTGTCTTCCCTCTCCCTTCCGCTCCTTTCCTTTTTTTCTTTAATAAAACTCATACGTGCTTTTGAAGTTGCTCAAAGTACGACGCTTACGCGAGCACCGCCCCCACTCCCCTCCCGAAACCCCTTTTTCAGCCTACGAACCTAACCTCTTTTTCTTTTGATCGTTTCAAATATACCTTTCTCCCGATGAAACGGAATTCAGGCGGCTCCGGGGTCCTTCTTAATTTATACAATCGATCGGGAGCCTCAGACGCTCGGGAAAAAGCAAAAAATACCGTGCACCGAGCTTTCTTCGCGCGAGGAAAAGCGTATCGTTTCTCTTTCCATCGTTACTTTCTTTCGGGGAAGTCAAAGAGAATTATGATCGCGTCGTTCCCCGATGATTTTCCCGTCATTTTACCCCATCGTTACATCTCTAACGAAGAACTCATTTTCTGGATTTATTCCTCTTATAAATCCAGTTTTAGGTTAAATACACATGATTTCGTGACTTTTGTTCCGAGGAAATTATCCGCGTACGCTTAGCTACGTCGTTATTGAACCGATCTCGATACAGTCCCTTCGTCGTTTACAAATATCATTGACAGTATGCGTAATGTTGATTCCTTCGATACCGGCCGTTGTACAAGCAAGTTGCGGCAGATCCATTACCACCGTACATATCCAATGCAAGAAACATATCCACGTATTCTCGATTACACTATGTTATCATTATAACGGATTGATGGAAACTGCTAGTCGAAACCAAAAGGTAATAGCATAGTAAGACAACGTATTATGTCATTGCATCAAATGCACAAATAGAAAAGTAAATGATAGTGTTAATCGAGATCCGTTCAATCACGACGTGCGTATTAATAAACGTACACATGCTCGAAGAATATTTTTTATAAACACAAAAGTATTATTATATGTCGATCCAGATCGCAATTGTGTGTAAAATAATTGACGATCGCTAAATTCAATTGTACATAATTCCTGCCGTTCCGTTGGTGCTACTAACTTATTCTTTTCTCGTCTGTGCTGTCACTCTGAAATCTGATATCATACGAGGTCGGTACTTCAGTTTCCAGTGGCACCAACACAGACGAGATAGCTCGTCTGTGGCACCAAATCTCGCAAGATAAAATATGTCTATTCAACTTTCGTAAAATAAAATACTTTATTTTTCGTCTGTATTGTCACGTTCACTTTATATTGTCTCGTTTTTCGTAGAATATTATTTGAAGCTTTTATTTTGAACTTTTACCATTTCTAGCGCTGGCTTCTTCTTCCACTCTGGATCAATAATGTTGGATTCAATCCTGATATCATGAGGGCTCTAGTTAGACATTCTGCGATCAAACAATTTTACGAAACTTTTCCATGATTATTTATAGCGAAAGATTCATTTAAAAACCTCAGGCCCATAGCTTAATTTAAACATACTTTTTTTTATAGATATTGAAGACGCGAATACGTGTAGGTCTGACTGTACTTGACGCTCGCTGAAATTTGCACATGACCCGTCGATATAAACAAACGCGATTATATTTCGAGTCTATATAGTCACGATGAGTCCAAGAAGTTTGCGACCAAGTCCTTATCAAATTTGTATAACGATCCTGGAAGCTAGGCATTTACCTCAAAATGTGAACCCGCTGGTCGTGGTCAGAGTTGGTAACCGGAAGAGGAAAACCGTGGTTCGCGAAAGAACCGACGCACCAGTTTACAACGAAGTAACCTTACAAATTGACACACCGACAGAGTTCGTTTAATCACTCTCGATGGATTTCAGTACTTCGTATTCGACCTGGTCTGCAACTTGGACGAACTGTTGGGCACTAAAATCATGATAGCTGTATATTTGAAAAGTTCCCTGCGCCTGAAATTTTACGGGAGCACGAGTTTCGAAGTAGCCCTCGTGTGGGAGCAACCAGGTTTAAAATATTGAAATATTAAAAAACTTTGTACCCCTTGCACATCCAAGCCCCTGTTAGGCTAATTACGAAATCATTATTGAAACTTGATGGACGTAATTTATTAGGTAGGAGTAATTGTCTATGGAAATGTTGATGCAATTTTGTTCGAACAGATCGTCAATATTATCATAAGTGGGCAATGTTGACGAACCCGAAGGACCTCGCTGCAGGACCCAGGGGATACGTCAAATGCAATATCGCGATTAATGTAAAAGGGGAGAAACTGAAAGTGTACCCGGAGACGGAGGGGGAGGACGACATCGAAGGGTAATTTATAAAAATTCTATTTTCAAATAAAACTAATGTTAGGGTAATAAACACGCATCAATTTTGTTGTTTATCAAAACTAACGATTACTGTGCTTCCAATACGAATCTATAAATCCCGACGATACTAAACTACAGTGGGGGATCTAGACACCAATCGGACCCACATTCCTTTCACTTGTCAATTTCTCGCGTACACACAGTAGATTCTTACCATCCAAAGTGGTCTCTCGTCCTTTGAACAAATGCATTAACACTTTGACTGCCACGTCAACCATATACACATAGAAAAATTCAAGCTGAGAAATTTTAGGTTATGCTGTTTACAAGTGGTCTGAAACCAAAATTTCAGTTCTGATCTGAAAGCGTTAACAAACTATATTTACTTCAGTTTACGTATCTCCTTTTGGAAAACGATTCTCAGTCACAGGATTGGGGTTCGATTGGTTCTTAATGACGACGAAGGTTCTCAGAGCGGGTACCAGAAATTTTTCACTGTTTCCCACGCAATTTATTCGCGCAAAGGGGCATCTGCATAGATATTGCGTCGAACGGGAAACGTTCCCCTTGATCCAGTATCCGTTTTGACGTTACAACGTGTTCCCTGTCGCGTGTCGCGGAATCGATTCGAGGTCGGTGGGCCGAATCCAGAATTATTAGTCCGCCCGGTCGATTAATGGAAATCGAACGATTACAGGAACCTTTTGCTGCCCGTGGGCGGCGAGTACCTGCCGTTTAGGCAACACGCGCGCTACGTTTTTGCGATTTATCGGGCCGACGGGCTGCCAGACATGAGCAGCGTGTGCACGAAAAGCGATTTCGAAAATATCAACCCGTACGTGCAGATATCGTTCGCTGGAATGAAAGTACGTTGGACGATAAATAATTACGAACTTGGGGAGATTTTTAAATTCTCCGCTGTGGAGTCGCTATCGATGGGATTTAACAATTCTCTACACGGTCAAACGAGCCCCGTGTTCGCGTAAACTTTCGTTGTTTTCCAATACGGCGTGCGATTTTCGAAGCAAATACCAGCAACTCGTGTTCGTTAGTTTCTACTCTGTTTTCGGTCCGGTAATTTTTATTTTATAATCGATAGAATAATTTGTGGACAAAAAAGTTAATCGACGGGGAAGAGAAAACAGTTGGAGAGTCGAGATTAAAGGTTAACGCATTGGCTGCCGCGTGAAAAAATTGATTTTCAAGATTGGATGTTGAAGAAAATAAATCTAGACAGAACTCTTGAATTTTGACTGTAAACATAAGTTTTATGAGAAATTGTGGTTGCTTTTTAACCGTCTGAAAATAAAGTGTCGCTTTTCTGGACAATTTGTTGGGCGTGGCAGTGAACGTGTTAAGCAATAACGTTTAATCTCATTGTACGATCTTGCTCGATCGATCAATTACCTTCGCACGAATTGGATTTGGACGGAGTAAACAATTTCACTCGACGAGATTTCATCCCCTCGACAGCGAAAGGAATTTACTTGACGAGAAAATTATTTAATTAGATCCGATCGGTGTACACGTGTACGCAATTAGTAATTCGGTAATTATGCAGAACAGGTGTTTCCTCACCGATTTCAATTATTTTTGGATATGTTGTCAGGGATACGATTCTGAACAACTTTTTCCTATACATGTTACCGCCGCTCGACCTTCGTTTCCGAGATATTCGCGAAAAACTGCTGCTACTACTACAATGTATTCTGCCGTATATGTATACCTATCTACAGTACCAAAGCAAATGACGAAGCTGGCCTTTGTTTCCGAGATATTTGTGTAAAACTCCGGTTGATTTATTTCGACGTAACGCATTCCAGTTTCCAACTTGTCCCGGGCATTAGTTTGGTTTGGGTTAGATTAGGGCGGGGGGCGCGCGCCCACTCGCGGGCGCGTAAAGCAGGGTAGCGAACCGAAATGAGTCGGAGTATTAACGGGCATCTGCAAGTTTCTGGTTCAAATCTCTAAACTCAGATCGGTTAGCTACCATGCGTTACGCGCCCGCAAGCGGGCGCCCCCCCCCCGCACTAATCTAACCCAAACCAAACTAATACCCGGGACAAATTGGAAACTGGAATGCGTTTCGTCCAAATAAATCAACCGGAGTTTTACACAAATATCTCGGCAACGAAGGTCGAGCGGCGGTAACATGTATAGGACAAAGTTGTTCAGAATTATGCCCCCGACAACATATCCAAAAATAATTGAAATCGGTGAGGAAACACCTGTTCTGCATAATTACCAGTAATTCTAGCGAACATTCGCAGGGATCGACCAGCGAAGCGTGGCAAACGTACGGGCCAAGATTTAACGAGAAAATTACGTTCAAGGAAATGTTTCCGTCCCTCTGCCAACGCGTTAGGATCGCCATAAAGCACCGTGTTAACAGTTGTAGAACGTGCGTGGTGGCCTCCTACATCCTTGATATGAGCAAGATATCGAACTCCGGAGAATATGGTAAGCGACGAAACATTCTCATTCTACGAACCAAATTTTGTAATTTAAAAAACAAATTAAGTTGCTCGATAACACCTTATCTTATTCGAACAGAGCGTAGGAATATCTTTTAAATTTCTTATTTATGATCTACGAAAGCACTACGCATCTGGTTTTTGTAATTCAGATACTATACAGTGGTAACAAGTACTCTGTATCTGTTTTTTAAGTATACCTTTTGAGAAATTTCCAATTAAATAAATAAATAAGTTCCTATACGAAATTCGTCCAACTCAAAGGTTCGTCGAATTTGGATAATATTAGCCTCGTTATTGCTCGGATAAAAGGACCAGAGACGCAAAGTAGGGGCGAATCAAATAAGCCGGGAATAAATAAAAAGGGAGAATCGTGTTATAGACGAGACTCGGAATAACCGGCTGCAAACGAAAGGGCGATTAACCGATTCCGCGTGCATCTCGTTTTGTTTGCATTTGAAAATCCTTCCCCGACGAGTAACTCGCGAGTTTCCGAGCAATATCGAAGCGTGAAAGTAGCAGTCGTTTACAGTTGTGACTAGATAATCGTCGATAACTTATTGCCCCGTCGGTTTTATGAGGTTTCCTGCCCACTTTCGGACCGTCGTTTCTCCACTTTTACGGCACCAGCCTCGCAGAAAGGAACAGCTGTTTCGGCAAGTGCTTCTCGGCCCTCCCCATCTATCGCGGACGAGTCCTTCTCTCCTTAAAAACGGAAATGGATGACCCAGAAGCATCCTCCAGAATCAGCACAGAAACAGAGCGCGCGGCTCCTATCATCGAGGTACGTCCAATATGATTGCTTTTCTTTTCTAAAGGGAATCCCTATATCGACTTTCTATGTTATTGGGTTGTTCCATAAGGCTTCGACGTTTCTTCGGGTAAAATAATACACAGGGTGGTGTCACGCAAACGGGATGGAACGGAACGATATTCCGTAAAACCGGTCCAGCCTTGACTTATTTGCAGAATTGTAAAAGGACTCGTTGGATAATACGTTTTAAATATATCGCGGAGAACCCAAGAATAGGGTCAAAAGGTGAACGCGACGTGCCGGTTGCCGACTATTTTATTCTTATTCTTGCGTCTCCGGTACGTCTCAACCGTAAAAAATGATGACGCATCCATTGGGCGTTCTATTTATCAACAATGCCTTCCAATGTCTTTGTTATTTCTGATTGCACGGATGAAAACAGAGATGGGTGTTGTGCATCGGGTATTCCACTAATACTTTTACATTAAAAGGGAAGGGAATTATATAATAAGGGGGAGGGGGGGGGGATATATTAAGCAATTTACGCTATTTTCGCTGAGAAAAATTTTCAAAATAATGCAGAGATGGATGGGATACTGCTATAAGAGTGTTACAGAAAGATAAATTGTACAAGGGGTGACGGATCGTCTATGGTCAGACACGCGCCATAACTAATGTGAAAGTATTCTTCCCAGTAGCGTGGTATTATATCACGAAAATTAAGATGTGTAAAATCATTCACTGGACAAGTTAATTTACTACTAGACAATTTAAGATAATTCATTTTCAAAACACTACAGAGTGCATTTAATATTTATATTTAGGCGTTGAGACAACCCTCTGAAAAGCTATTAATAAAACTTATCAGTGTTCTGTGTTAGATTTTCCGTTATATCAAAAGTTAATTCACATGTATTTCGAGCAAAACAGAATCACGGGAACTAACAGAAACGAATGTATTAATTAACTCGCGAGCGTCCAATTTGTACAATAAAAATCAGTCGAGCGAGGCGCATGGAACGAACTGGAGTGACAAAACGACCCAATACTTTCGCGATGACTGTCGATAATAAATTCAAAGCGGCGATATTTCGTTCCCCAGTGACAGATATTAATGCATCGTGCTTCATTTTCTGCGTACAGGGAATAGACAGGTGACGTATAAAGTGCACCGGAGTGATCTCGGATCGTTCAACGATCTCCTTTCGCGATCGTACCTCGACGTGCGTCTAACTACTCGTTTTAATCCCTCGGGCGATACGCGACTCTCAGTCTCAACCGATACGATGCTATTTGTTACGTAAATTTCCACCACTCTTTACAGAATTATATCAAAGACGCTGATATTGGATAATAAGATTCTGGTAGATACAAAAATATATTCTAAAACAGCGCTGAAAATTATTTATTCTTTTTTATTTGATAAATTTATTTCCAGTAAATCCTAGAAAATAGTAGAAACACGTTGCTTGAACTCTTTTATATTTCCGTATTTGTATACGTAATAAAGAAATTATTGGACCGTATTGCACTCGATTGCTCGTATTTGCATTGGACTTCGTCAATTTGGAAAATTTAAAAAAACATGCATCGTTCTCTATTTGAAAGGAACGCTTGTGGACGACGGAAGAATACTACTTGGTTGCTGTGCTCTACGACGTGAGTTTGATCGATCGACGAAAATTTTTGACGAAATCGATAAGCTTCGAGGTTAGCATTGGGAACGCCGGCAACAGACAATTCCCGCACAGCCAGTGCTTCGAGGACATCAACGACGGTATAGAATACTTCAGAATAAAATCGTTTCGCCATATTGCAGGCTGATTCCCTTTTCAACATCCAAACAATTACGAAAGGTTGGAAAACGTGACGAAGCAAGGTTTAAATTGTTTCAAAGAACTCGTCTCAAAATAAGATATAAACGTTAAAGTACAACAAAATGTCGACAACCTTGAAAAATAATTAAAAGAATCACCCTGTATATAATTGTTTCGCTATCCGGAATACATGACGATCGCTTCGTAAATCGTCCCACGGAGAAAATAATATTTCCAATATAATTTTCCAATATAACGTTTCGCCAAGGGCAATTAAAGTTGTCCTTCGCGCTGAAGGATCGTCGAACGAAGGACGATTATAGCCGTCCTCAGTGTAGAAACGGTTAATACAGTTGGAAGTTTACGCCATGGGCGGACGTTATCCGTGAAATTTGATTAATTTTCAACAGAAAACCGGATGCTGGAACGGAGACCGGAATTCGAGAGCGGTACCGCGTCGCGGCTGACCGGATCGCTGGATGGCAAATATAATTATCTGCCACTTGGCTCGAGAAAACCGTGCTTGTACGTCAAGTCCTGGTGGCCGAACCTCGAGTGGAGGATGCACAATAGCAACAGCCTGGCTTTTATGGCTGACTTCCTCGTAAGCATTATTTGCCCCGTGACCGTCGACGCGTCCTTTTCTTTACACTTTGCCGGGCGGAAACTTTTAACGAACATCGAACCGATCAATGCCACACATTCGTAATAACAGATGCGTCTTCGAGACGAGCATAGAATTTTTTCTAAAAAATTCTTAAAATCTATCATTAATCATTAAGGTCCATCGTGACGTGCTTTCTTCTCGATCGAGTTCTTTAAAGAGTTCCTGCAACGAAGACTCGACTCAAGTTTTAATTAAGCGCCTCGACGGTACGCGTTCGAAAGTCAAATTCATTCGCGTCGAGGGTTTAAAATTACGAGTACGTCGTTTTGAGGAAAGGTCGCGGGCCTAGGAATTTTCCGGGCCGTGTCAAAGAAATATTTCATACGTCCTCGAACCGGGTAACCGGCGTTGCACGGAGGAAGTTTGCATGCGAACTGGAACGGCGATTCGAGAACAATTTGAATTCGTCGCGACAGGAGCAGAAGTTGGAGAAACTGGACGGCTTGGTCGCGCTGGAAGACCCGGAGGCTTACAAACTGTACAACGAAACGATCCTAGAGCTGAAAGGTCGCTGCATCCGTTATTTGCATACGTTGGACACGGGGGAGTACGACGACAAGGGCGGCACTACGAAGCTCGATCGTCATCGCGTGCATCTCTGCCGTAGCATCATCGAGGATATCCTGAAGAGGATCAAGATCAACGGGGAGCTTCCCAACAACCGCTACTTGAAGATCGCGATGGTCCACGCGTACCAATACCTTTGCAAAGTCAAGAAATTACGGGAAGACGTAAGTAAAATTTCGTTTTTCCGAGTAAAATGTAGGAACCCCAGCTTATCGATAGGTGGTCTATACATATGTATTTTAACATTATTTACACGCCACAAGAGACAGATTCTAATTAATCCCACCAAAATAATTTTTTTCGAAAAGAGGGACTCCTGTGAAAACACCGGAGTAACGATAACGTTTTATTTGTACGATTTGAGTGATTAGCTAGACAGAAATGTTCCAGAGATTATTCGAGTAAAGACTAACACTGCCAAGGGGAGATCTCGATAAACCTCGATAGCAAACACGTTTCTCGATTAATCTCCCCGATCGAATCGCTTCCCAAGTCTCTTGGAAAATTTTAGCAGAGCGTTTATCGGAAGGATCATATTTAATTTCGATCAACGACTGTCCGTTTCCAGTTCGGGACGTCTCGGGAAGATAGAAGAACCCTTAAACTGTGCAAACTTCCCTTGTTTCCTTTCCTCTCGAGTGCGTCTAATAACACGATTTACGAGACGGAAAAGGGAACGAAGTCATAAAAGTTTCTTTCCCAGCGAAGATATTCCGCGAATCCGAGAAAAGCGGACAGATTAATCAGAGCAGCAATTTCTTTCCGATAAAGAATTTAAAGAACAAAAATTAGGAATAGATGCTATCGTTCCCAGAATTTTATAACGCGTTCCTAGTGTATTCGCTGTCGACATGTTTGACGTCCTTCCATTGACAGGAGACCGATAAGGCAAACAAACTATTAAAATGCAAGGGGTTGATTTCTCGCGTAAAAGTATTATTTCCCCAAAGGGTTCCTAAAAATGGCTAGTTTTATCCACCTGGCAAACTTCACTAACTTTTATTATAAATATTTTCTCTAGAATTTTTAGTTTGTTCCTCCTTGAATATTACTTCTTTTCGTATTAAAGAGTTTTTTTATTCCACGAGTGTCATCTTTGGGAGGGTCACGCGTTTATTATACATTTCTCCAGCCCCAGCACGGACTTCCGGACGTTTTCGTCTGGATGATGGCCGGCTCGAAGCGCGTGGCGTGCACGCGATTGTCAGCGGAGGAAATAATTTACTCCGAAGAAGAGACGGAGAGGGGCAGAACGTGCGGCCAGAAGGTGGACGTCTTCCTGAGGCATCCACGGGACGATAACGAAGCTGATTACGCAGCCTGCAAGCTGGAACTCTTCCTCTGGCTGGGGAACGCGGAGTACGTGGGTGCGTGTTGGTCCTCCATTCCTTCTGGATACCAAGTGGATCATGAAAAGACCGTCGACTCGTTCCCGAAATACATCGAGTACACTCGGTCCACGGTATTAAATAAATTCCCTTTTCAAACTCCGGGAGCAAGGTCAGTTTCCGCCATTTTCGTTCGCGGTTCGTGCAATTTTAATTAACGACAGCGTTGGGAGCGTACTCCAATTTTCAAGTTACTCTTCTTATTCCGGAGCATTCGTCGATTCGTTAATTTTGAATTTTTGAGATTTGAAATTTACCCTTTTTCTTATGCTTGAAACACTTTGACTTTGAACCATACATGATATAGGACTTTCCACGGTGAAACTAGAAAAATGAATTCTTTTGAGATTGTGAGGAAAATAAATTTGTGAATTTTAACTAGATTACAAAAATAGTTTAAGGTTTTGTTATTTGTAGTGAACGTGTTAAAAAAAAATACACGTTGTAAGAGTAACGTAATAATTTGAAGTTTCCTAGGATTGCAAGTCCCTCGGGGAACACGCCTTGCTAAATGCGATTGGGCTTCGCGTTTTAATTGTGCTGGATTCTTCGCTTGAGCCAATTAATCACTCTTATCGCAAACTTCCATTTCGTGAAACTAATGCAAAAAAATAAAGGAAAGAGGTGTAAGAATTATAGATTTTCATGAGGTGGCAATAATTTCAAATTGTTGGACGAGATAGTGGCAGTCCTACGTGACGATAAAAATAATACCATCAATTATCGGGGCCATAATTATTACTAACGCAAACTTTCGTGGCCGTTAAAATAACGATGTCGTTAGTATCACAATAGCGATGACCCTCGACTCGTTAAGCTCAATTCATAACGATTACCTTCGAATCACTAAAACCAATATCGGTAATTTCTGGGTCGTTTGTATTAATTCTCGGAATCAATAACAGAAATATCTACAATTATTGGGCTTGTTCGTATTAATAGCAATTTCCACCGAGTTATTAATATCGGTAACACCGTCTTTTCGGGTCGTTAACATCGATAGCTGCAAACTTTGCATCGTTTATTATCTCTAACGACCACGAGGCTGAGGTCATTAAAATTCATAATAACAACAATGCAATGAATAGCTTAACGGCAATTCTGAGGCCGTTGAAACTAATTAAAGTCATCCCCGGATGTAAGAAATAAAAAGCAAAAATTCTTTGCAATCCAAGAATTCATTTTTTGAAATATTGAAATCATCCTTTTTCCCCCCCCAGAGAAATTTATAAATATTTCTAATTAAAAATTTCTTCGTTTCGTTAATTAGATGTGTGTTACTATACGTAAATCGAGTTGTAGTGGATGTTACGTACATCGCCATTGGAGTGCAAAGGGTTAATTGCGATATTCTCCCACAAGCTGAAATAAAATTCCAACAACCACAGATACGATGGGGTTTGAAAAAACAAATTCACGAATAGCCGTGTCGGGTCACCGAACGCAACGATTCGGTTTTCTTTTTCCAATTTTAATTTCAAACGACCTGCCGCCGGAACCGTAGAGTTCTGTGAGACTGAAATTACAACACCGTGTGATATCCTGCTGGCAATATTTTGTACGAAATACTGTCTGCTCGTCGTGTCACCGTATTTTGCATTTCAGGCATTCCAATTACGTGCTCATATATTCCAAGGTCGCTTTGATCCTGGGATGGATGCATCCGGCTTATTGGATCCGCTCGTACGTGTTGCGTTTCATGGTTACACGGCTACGACCAGAGTAAGTTTCGCGCGTCGATCGTTCATCCATGATGCCTAACAACTGCTCAAACTTCTGTTATTATTACCCCCAGGTCAATCTATTCTATCCAAGAACTCATGCAAAATCAATTCGCAATAAACTCGAATATTTTTCTAATTTTCAACAATTTCCTTGGAAAGGTAACGATCGTGGGATCCAAGAGAATTACTCGAACGCTAGCGAACTTCTCAAAACAAACTCATACCGCGTAAATTCGCCTATTTGCTCGCCCCTCAGGCAAAGATATTGCACCTGACTTCACACATTCCCGAGTTCACTAGTTAACAAAGAGGATCTGTTTTCAGGTGATCAAGCAGACACTCGATCCTTTTTGGGATCAAACCCTGATCCTGCCACCGAGAACCATCCATGGCACGAAAGAGTACACAAAACTCCACCCACCCAACGTGACTTTGCAAGTCTTCGACCAAGACATATGCGTGAGTAACGATCCTAATCGTCGAACGCGTTTAATTACACATTATGTCCGAAAGTTTGCGAGCCAGTTCGCGTTCCTATGGCCGCGAATCGAAATTCACAGGGCACCAAGGAGTTCTGCGGAAGATGCACGGCGATTCCATTAGTTAAACTCGCGGCGGAAACTTACTCGCCGCCTGATTTCCCTCCGAAACTTGAGTGGTACAAATTTAAATCGCAGAGGGATTGCAGCGGTTCGGTCCTCGCTGCTTTCGAGCTCATAGAGGTGAGTGCAAACGATACCGATCGATAGTCGCGTCTCAACCGACTCTCGTATTCCTTCAGCCGTCGTTTTCTACGGTTTTGAATTTCCCGCGCTCGACGCGTTGCGGATCCCGAGTAACTGCTATCTTAACCGTTTCAGTTAAGAGAACTTTTTAATAAAACGTTTCTGGAAATTTTGTGTATAATCTAGTCCCCAAGAAAATTGAATCTAGTTGTGTCGTTTAGGTAGAAGACGACGAAGAGGTGGACAGGCCAATGAGTGCTTCGAAACAGGACATCGTATACAACATACCGGTAGACATCAGGCCGAAAATGGCATGTTACAAGCTCGAAGTTATATTTTGGGGCGTACGGGACATGAAGAAGATGAATTACCTGCCGGTGCTTAAACCTCGGATTATAATAGAGTGCGCCGGGGTCGACGTCAAGTCAGAGGTAATGGAGAACGCCAAGAAATTCAGCAACTTCGAGGAGCCCCACATCATCGTCGAATTGGTAAAGATTCCAAATACTTGGTCTCCTTTTCCCCGTTCATATTATAATTCAGTACTGTGTTATATAAAAAACAACCCAAGGGATCGATGTATTCGAAAAGGTAACTCCCATTTCGTAAAAAAGTTGCATTTTGTACGAACGTTTAAACAGAGTGATGGCTCGTCCAAGTTACCGGATGCACCCTGTGCATTTAAATGATATAGACGGACGCGAACTTTAGCAGTTAATGGACGTTTGATAATACGAAAAAGGAGCGACCAGACGTGCACGTGGTCTCACGCGAACTGTTGTTGCGCGTCGTTTTCCCTGGGGATGGTGATTTGCAGCTGGGAAACCACGTTTCCCAACAGTTGCAGTTTGGTGGTCTGCTGACGAAATAATTTAACAGCGACGCGACTAGACATTTATCAAAATGATTCGTGCTAAAAATTTAACCGAGTCGAATATTCGCGATAATTTTCGATCTAATTCGCCCGGAAAACTTCAGTGTAAATGTTTAATTTATAAATTTCCGTAAGGATATGCCGGAGCTTAGTATCTACTATCCCTCCGTCACAATAAAGACTTACGATTCGCGAGGGTTTGGCTGCTTCAAATACGTCGGGATTTGCATAATTCCGAGCGTTTACGTCTTTCTGGAGCAACTAATAACCGAAGAGGATTACGATACGCAGATACACGAGACGAAATCGATCCTGAAATCTCCCTGGACGAAGAAACGATCCGCCACCATTTGTAAGTTCGACAAACGTACAAAAATCAACTGAATATTGAGAAAATACCGAGAAATAACCTTAAGGTCAGTTAAATTAAATTGCTACGACGTTTGTACGGAAACGTGCGAACGCATACTTGCGCGGTCCGATTGTTTCTCCGCATCACAGGCAGTTATTAAATATTTAAACTCTGTCGTTTAACGGCATAGCGGCGCTGTGGATTCGAAACTTTCCTTCCAAAAGTTAATAACGCCGTGGGAAATGTGCCAGTCTGCACGCAACAGAAAACTTTGTTAATTAAAGTTCTCGGAAACATTTATCCGCTTCCGGTATGGATAAACGTTCGCCCCTCTTCGAGTATCACCTAAAAACATTAACCAGTCGCGTACGGTGCAGACAGAAGTCAAAATTAACTCGCGTTGAGTTATTAATGGACTGGTCGATGAACCTGTTTTAAACTCTGACAATAATAACTCCAGCGAAGTTCAGATCGAACACAGATTGTATTATACGAATTCCGTGTAATTTTAAACGCGAATCGAGAACGTAAAAAAGAGATTCCTGTAAATATTTATCCCATTTGACTTTTCTTTTTAGCTGGTTCATTGTAGTCAGCCATTATTCGCGTACTATTACTAATTCACAGGTGTGATCTTTTGTCGTGGTATCAGGGTATCTTTTATTAGTCACAGTCTGTTTGCAAGTAAAATTAATAAACGAGATATTTAGGGTGTCCTGATTCTCTCGGTAACTCAATCTGTACTGAGTTCTTCTACGTAAAAAGGCACACTCGTATATTTTCTTCTTTCATCGCCACAAATCCTCTTCAACGTTCTTTTAAAGTGTCTTTGCCGATCGACTACGACCCGTCCAAGGACGAGAATAGAGAACTGATTCCGTACAAGAAAATGGCCGGGAAAGATTTGTCCTCGAGGATTTGGAGGGTGCTACGGTCCGTAAAGAAACTATTCGCGCTTTTCCTGGGAAGGAAAAGAAGAAAAAAGAAAAGCACGCGCCTCGAGGAGGATGGGGACGAGTCGTTGGATTGGTGGAGTAAATATTTCGCTTCCCTGGAGGTAGGTGTACGGAGACGAATGAGGGGGGAATCCGGCCATCGTGTGAACGATCCGATATATGGAAATTGCCGAGGATCCTGCGGTAAACAGTGACGTATTTCAGGAGGAAAGGAGCAAACTGTTAAAGAGCCAAGCTCCCGAAGGTCGCAAACTCGTCGCGACGTTCAAGGTACGGCGCTTTTAGAGCATTTTCACCAGCTCAACTGTTTCTCATTGGACGGGAAAACAGGTATACGACGGGGAATTGGAGTTGCAGCCGGAGTTCGCCGGGTTTCAGGATCGACTCAGATCGTTTGAGCTGTGGAGGGGAAGGAAGGCCGAGAATCCTGATTACGACAGCGACAATTACGTCGGAAAATTCAAGGTTTCGCTCGAATTTAACTTACGACTAATCCATAGGGGACAAAGTAAACAGTCGCTGCAATTTTTTCAAACGATTCATTTCAGATAAAAACCTTTCCGATATAAGCAAGTATTCTTTAACATGAAAATTTTCCATGTTTTAAAATTCTAACCGAGTTTTTACTAAACTCCTTTCTATATATAAATGCACAGTTATTTCAGGAATTCTAATAAAAGGAGTTTAAGATGCTCGAGGCCCACTCGACGCTTGTAAATAACGCGTTAAAAGTCTGTTTAATCAGCCATCATTAACGGAGCTGGAAGATTGCCAAGAACCCGAAGTCTCTGCTTTCCGACGAACAATTAGAAGACAATTTCACAACTCAAAGACTGCATTTCGTCGCGTTATTTTCATCAACGAGAATAGAATACACTCGTTTCACGACGCTCGGAAAATAATTCGCACTAATTATGCCTCGCGATGTTCTTTCGAAACACTGTCACGCGTTCGCCATCGAAACGTTATCAATATTCGTATAAAAAATTGAAATTTGAATAACAAATAGAACGACGTAACGGAAATCAGATTGCTTAGTGAATCGCGAAAGGAATAAAAGATGATATTCGTGCACAGGGGCGGATCTGCGTGTATCGTTGGCCGCATCCGGCCAACCTGCCATGCAAAACCAGAACCGGTCGAAACGCGGTTAATGGTTTGTGCGACGATTATCCATCTTCGGAGTCCGTGAGACTTTTCGTCAGACTTTACGTCGTGAAGGGTGAGCTTCATCGTCATGAGCACGAACATGAACCGATAGGAATAAATCGATTCCCTCCACAGGCATCAATTTGCAGCCTAACGACCCCCTCAGCGGAAAGTCTGACCCTTATCTGTACGTCAGGCTTGGGAAAACGTACATCAACGACAGAAAGAACTTTATACCTAACCAGCTTAATCCTACGTTTGGTCGGTACGTATACATTATCCCACTACAATTTTCATTTGTACGTACTTCCTGTATAATACTTCCTTTCGTCGAGCTAAAAGGTAATTATCAATTAATTATGAACGAAATATTAAACCCTCAGCTGCGCAATTTTGTTACTGAAAATTTTCAAAATGAATATATTCGTCGCTAAAATAAGATGTTGTTAAGAAGAAACACAAATTATATACTATCTCCGGTGATTTTCAATTAATTATGGACGAAATATCAAACTCTTAAGGAAAATAACATATAATAAGAAAAAAAACAGAAGTGAAAAAGAAAGGAAATCTTAATTTTACAAAATGGACGAGCAAGAAAATAGCTGTTTACATAATTGTTCCATTACCACCCCCCGAGCGAATTAACCAGCGCGATAGGAGTATGTTCTGCATGACTAAAATTCTATCATAAACGCGACCGAAGCGTGAGTCGCTGGTTAACGTCCTTTGTAACGATACGCGACGACTTTATTTAATTAGGTTAGCTTTAATGGCAGCTGACAATGCAACCTCTATTACATCACCCCGTAAACGTAGTTTGTTACAGTCTAATAAACGTTACAATTATTTGATCGTAAATTGCAATACGTTTCACCGTTCTCCACCCTTTTTGTCGCGATTGTCGCCAGTGTTTCTACTAATTTATTTTCCGCGTTTATTTTCTCCGTCTCTGTTGTTTCGTTTCTGTTCCGGACAGAAACTACCAGTACTTTATTCGAAATATTCGCAGGCTCTTCGAGATAGAGGCCACGTTTCCCAAAGACCACACGATGATCGTGCAAGTGTGGGACTACGACGCCGCCACTAGCGACGATCTGATAGGGGAAACGAAAATCGACTTGGAGAATCGATTCTACAGCGGACATCGCGCTACCTGCGGCATATCGAAGTCGTACAACGCCGACGGTTATAATTATTGGAGGGATCGCGAGAAACCGACGATGATACTCGATAACCTCTGCAAGATGAACAATCTCCCGTCGCCGGAATACGGAGAAGATGGAGTGAAAATCGGACGAAAGAACTTCCGGTTCCTCGACGTCCTCGCGAAGGACGAGCCTGGTTCGTTTCCGCGAAGAAACTTCTCTCGCTTCAAATATTTTCGAGTACATCTAAAACATTGCTCGTTTCTCAATTGGTAAAATTTATTTTCGGTTTTTTTTTCAGTCAAAGTGAAAGAGAAAAATTTTTAATTTTAACAGTAGATTTTGCAGACATTGATTGGACGTATGTTTGTTAAAACTCGTCGCATTGATGATTGCATTGAAGTATTTAGATTAATCAAATACAAATAACGTTGATGAATACTTTTTAAATGTGAGAACCGAATCAAAATTATTCGAATATGTTTTATCAGTGATAATTTCTATTCAGACAGGGAAGAATGCATGGCGCTGAATGTGCTTCATCAATGGCAAGATTTTCCCATTTGTGGGTGTGCCCTGGTGCCCGAACACATCGAAAGAAGACCGCTTTTTAACGCTGCAAAGCCAGGCCTCGAGCAGGTTATAAAACAGAATGACTTTTTTTCGCCATTCGGGGAACGAAAGGTTTCACTCGTGAATGAATTCGATTGGATTGAATGCGCGAAGGGGGCAAATTTAAGCTCGTAAATATTTAATGAGCTCCAGCAGCTTATCACTTCTTTCCCGTAAACTGCAATTATCCCGCCAGGGTATTTCCGTTTAATTCCTCCGCTATAACGTGTGCTTTTTTCGACTACTGAGCGCTGGCCAGGAATATAAAGCAGAATAGTTTATACATTCCGCGGCGAATAAATTTTTACGTGATTTGAAATGGACACTTTTAATTACGACTTTATTCGTAACGGAAGGTATTTAAAAACAGCTAGTATTATTAAATTATCTCGCTCGCGATAGTCAACGACTTCGAGGTCATTTAATAACCATTTGTAAATTCTATTCTAACAATAAAAGGGAAGGTTAATTTAAGTTAACATTATTTTCAGTCCAATTGATGGCGCGTCGTTAGATTTTATGCTATTAAATGTTGATTTCGTCGGAAGGACGCCACAAACGCGAAGTTCGCCAGCCGAGCACTCTTTCGGCCGCCTAAATATTCACCAGCCTGTTCTACGAGCGCAGTCTGCATTCCTGATCAATGTTTCAGGGTAAATTGGAACTTTGGATCGACATGTTCCAATGCGGCGAACTGCCTCCGAAACCGGCTGTAGACATCAGACCAATGGTACCGGAGGAATATGAAATTCGCGTGATCGTTTGGAACACCGAGAACGTGCCCCTCGTGGAAAGTCAATTTCTTACGGGGGAGAAGTGCTCCGACATTTACGTCAAAGGGTAAGTTGCAAAATGGCGGAAACTTTCACCTTGGCAATTAATACGATCCACACAATAGCTCTTTTCAACGTCTCTATCTGACTTTTCCTTCGTATTCAATATTTTTAAGCTAAGTCCTCGATTTTCCAAGGGTTAAAATTTACGAAAGCTCGAGGACGAGAAAAGCAGGTTATATTTTTTCGCGACAATCGATTTCAGGTGGATTCTTTACGACGATTACCAGAAGACGGACGTTCATTACAATTCCCTGAACGGCGAGGGTAATTTCAACTGGAGATTTATATTCCGCGTCACGTATTCGAAGGGCGAGCGCGTTATGATAGTACGCAGAAAGGTATCTGTCCTTGATAGGAGCGAGACCGAGGACAAACTGCCCTGCAAATTGCATCTGCAAGTTTGGGATAGCGATCATTTCTCTCCGGACGATTTCCTCGGTAACTGCAAACTATTCGAATCGTCGGAGTTAATTACCAATCGTAGATACAACTGCGACCGGGGTAAATTAATTAATCGACCGATCTCAAGGAGCTTTGACGTTGGATCTGAGCAGGATGCCGCGAGGAAGCGGGAATTCGAAAAATTGCACGCTGAAGATCCTGGACCCGAGTTTACCGACGACGGATCTCTTCAAAGTGATGAGGATTAAAGCATGGTGGCCATTCCGGCAGAGTGTCGGAACTGCGGACTACGTTCAGGCGGTTTGTCCTCGTCAATTTCAACATTCGTTCGCTTAGATTCAGACGTTTGCTCAATTTATAGACACGTGAAACTCGATTCGCGCGAGAGCAAAGTCGTTTTGTTCGAATTTGTTTGCAGGCTTACGCGAAATTATGGAAGCCATTTTGTTACAGACGAATTTGTGAGTTGTTTTGTGGAATGAAACACGAGAGATATAGATAATGAATATCGTTCGATTCGTTAGACTTTCAAATTTTGATGCTTACTGAAAATGTTTTTCAAAATTCTCTGACTTCTCTCTATAGTCCGTGAGTAGAAATTATTTTTTCCTTAATTCACACGGAGCGACGTATCGATTCAGGGTAAAGTCGAGCTGGAAATGTCAATAATGTCGGTAGAGGAAGCTGACGAGCAGCCTGCAGGCAAAGGAAGAGACCCTCCTCAAGAACTTCCGCCACCCAAGTATGAAGGAACTTAATTAAGAAATGCGGAAGTTAGCATCGACGGATAAATTAAATATTGTACAAAAAGTACATAGTAAAGCCCCTTTCGCGAATGCCAAAATTAAGACACATCAAAATATTTTGTACGAAACGGTCGAAATTTTGATACGACGTATTTACATCGAGCCTCGACTGTTTTAAAAAGATCGTATTTCAAGAAAGCTTGTAACTACGTTATACGTGCGATCGATTGCACGAGTCGCTGGTAACTTCCTGTCGCGTGTAAGTGAATTTTGGAGTTTGATCGTCGATACATCAAATTCCGAGTCCGGCAAGTAAATTATTGGGTAAAGTCGAGACCGGGCTCGAGCAATCAATTTTTGGGCAATTTTTTTAAAGACTAGCAAAGAAAATTCGAAGGATAAAATTAACGTTAGGTGTACGAATGAAACTTAAAAACTTGTGTTTTTTATTACTGTTTTTTGATTTGATTCAAAGATCGAAATCGTTCTCGAGCATAAAATAATTCTCTCCGACGAACGGTGTATTGAACTCGGGGAAGAACAAGACAGCAAGCACGATAGGAATGCAAACGTTCTATTAACACGGGACAATATTCGCATAGTCGATACATATTGTATCTAGACCGACGTTATTGACTATTCCGCTGTAATTAAACTGAATTTCCCGTCGGTCGTCGTTTAAGCGCCATTAGATAATTGAACGTACATCAACAACCGCGACGCGCTGAATCCCTGTTAGTTAATGCTATCGAATGTCATCGACGATCATTTTCGGTCAATCTCATCGTGTGAATCCTATCTTTTATTTTTTCCAATTTACAAGCCGACCGGATACTTCATTTTCCTGGTTCCGGAACCCGTGGAAAGCCTTCCGATTTGTGGTCTGTCGCTATTACAAATGGCGGATAGTCTGCTTCTTCACCTGCCTGCTGCTGATCTTGCTAATCGGTTGCGGGATCTACGCTTTCCCTGGCTATTTGGTCAAACGTCTTTTAGGAGCATAATCGTCTTAGAAATTTTACTTAATTTTCGAGGTAAACCAAAATCGATCTTTTAGATTTTCTTGAATATTCAAGTTTAATTCTCTCGAATAATGTTTTCGACTGAGTTTATTATATCATTTTTAATTTTTTGTTTTTCTCTACTATTGAATAAAAAAAGGATCAAAATGAAATTCATATCACTCTGCTCGAGATGACCATTGTTTTACATTGTATTTATATTCCGCGAGGAGAAAAACCTAGATATTTTTGAGGAAACTGCAATTAAACTCTACCCGTTATTCTATTTCTGAACGATTCAAAGCACACCGATCCATTGTACTAAAAAGTGCTTTTATATACATACGTATATAGGGTGGTCGTAGAAACTGGGGCGAACCGTGTTTTTACACGAGAATATGAAATAGTCACGCACGATAAAAACAAAAGAAAATTGTTATATTTTTCGAGGCTTCGAATTGGGCGGATCTCGGTAAGGGTCGACGAAACACGTTCACCGAGTCATGAAGACCGAAATCATCGCAGGGGGTCGTTAATTAGAAATTGGGTCGTTCAACGGATGAATTATCGATTTAGGACCACTTCTGGGAAACACCCACACTATTTGGGCACCGTTAATTGTAGGACAACAGAATGGAGTCACCTAGCTAACGATCGTTTTACCAGCTAATGGCCGACGCTTATTGTAAATCAGTATTGATAGTCCACGATGCCTGTTTGAGATTTCAAGCAACAATGCCTGAAATCTCTAACGAGGCCTATAATTTCTGTTGTGACATATATGTTGTAATTATATAAGTCAGCGTACTCTATAAAGAATAGTAAAAAGCATTATAAAAAGTGTCAGTATCTTAAATATTATTATTTATTTATTACGCTGTAATCCTCCACGGAATTATTAGTACAAGTTTACATAGGTAATTAGTATCAGTATTTTGATTGGAGATATATCATGATTTTATTAACTTCTTTCAGTGAAAATCAGAAACTTTTCTCATAAATGTTTCTTGTTACAGTTCTGATGGGGATGAAAAATGAATATTGCCCAAGATTCAGTTCGGATTCTTCGGCAAAAACCCGTCACAGAGATCTGCTTGCTTCATCGTCCCACTTTTCGTATCGCGACTTTAAAGCCTTTCAGCAAATATAAATCTCGCGTCCGGCTGTTCGCGCGTTAATCAGATTACGAAAAAGTTCACGCTCGCCGCGCTCCGACGTGTATTTACCGTTCGCGTGCGCCCGGTTCTTTCGCGAGTGAAATTCTTTCGCTAAGTCGGACGGGGGTATAAATCGACATCAGAGGCGGTCGAGAGCGTCGATCGAGCGTCGATAAATTAACCGGCGGTCCGCATTTCTATCATTTATTCTTTATCGAAAGTGAAATATTCGACGAAAACGCGCGGCGATAATTTTTGTCCTCTCTTCTCATTCGCATAAAACGTACAACCCGAAATATAGCGAGTTTATTCTCCGGGTAACGTTTTCAATCGATCGATTAGCATTTCTGATTTATAAAATCGACGCTAAGATCAACTTGAAGGAACGAATAAGCGAAGAAAGGCGAGACACGCGTGTAGCGGATTTACGATTAAGATCGAAGTTCGGGGGAACGTTCGTGATCGGAGGCACTTTTTAGGATCGCCCGATACAAAACGCAAGTGCAGCCCGCGGTTCTATTCCGGGCGGTCGACCAGGTGGAAAAGAGGCGACGTGACGTAACGAGAAGATCAATAACCCAACCGTTTTATTCGAAAGTTTATTGAACTCGGCTTTTCTTGATGTTCGTCCCGTTGTTTCGAGTCCCGATCCACCTTAACGATTCCCGCCGCCTTTACGACATCGGTAAGCAACGCGTCGAATTTCTTTCGGTATCTTCCTTCCCTTCTCGGTCTGCCGATAAACCTCTTTACGGCTGAACTCGAGGGGACAGTTCTAAGTAATCTAATCTTCTTTTCTGCCAGATGGAGACGGCTCCAGCCGCAATTTGCGATTTCCCCGGGCGAGGCTGAACAGCGAGAAAGCTAAATCCGCAGGTATTCGCGAATTAATTTTCAAACAAGCCCACCTTCCGCGCGTTCGTCTCGCGCTGCGGAAACTTTCCATCGGAGACACGCGGATTTTAATCGATGTAAACGAAGTAAAATCGCGGATTCGTTCGTACGCTAACTTTTATTTGTTCGTAAACGAAGTTTTTAAACGAAAGCTAACTTTGGTAAAAATTGGTAAAAAATCACCAAGAAAATAAATTCAATTAAATGATAATTTAATTTAACTCCCATCGGACGATGTTGGATCGTAATTTCTAGACAAGTTGCTTGGGGAATATTTTTGTGAAAAGACCACTAAACACTGGACACTATAGCATTTTACGATGTATATGTTGGACGAATAATCGGGACTCCAACTTATCGAGAGAGTTTTGTTTAAAAAAGAAGATATAGATTTTTTAAGTTTCTATTTGTTTCGTTGCAAGAAACTAGAGCAAAGCTATGAATTTATGAAATTATCGGTATAATGCTCCACATGAGAAATTATTTCCCTGCGAAACATTCACCAAATAACGATAATGATGGAAACAAACGAAAGAAAAATTGATAGGCTTTCATATGTATGACGAATACGTAGATACTTGAAAGTTTCTCGAAATACTCAGCCAAGGTAGTTACGTATAAAGTTGGACAGCAAACAGCAGAAATATATAGAAAGTTTTATCGGTTTCTGTATCGAGAGGGATAGGAGCCATACTTCTTCGCGAAGTGTGTATTGCGTCTCTATATTTTCTTCTCGATTGAAATCTTTATCGCCATTATTGACACCGTGGACCTCGAGCAGTTTCTGGTTTTGAATTTTGTTGCAGAAACTGGGCAATAGCAGCGTGCTCAGCGGCAGTTTTCTATCGTTTTTCTTCGGCTATTTTCCACTTATCCATCACGACTAATTGACGCGCGTGCGGATGCACGAAACGGATGTGCCGTACGAAACGTATGTGTCCGCGTAAAAATATAGTCCCTCGTCAGAATAGCTCTCCCTCCAACGAAACCAAAACGTAGAAAGGACACGTACGCAATTTTGAATAGCGGTAATCGCGTTTCTACAAAATGTGTGCCCCGAATCAACTGTTTTTAATAATTGAATAGTTGATTAATCTCAAAAGATATCAATTAGTTACTTTTCCAATAACGATGGTACTCGAGGTACTTTCAATAATATTGCGATAAATTTAAACGCCTGAAAAGCTTTATGAGCCACGGTGATTACGTTAAAAATTCTTTTCGACTAAAAAGTTCAGAAAGAACTCGGTCCAAGTCGAAGATCGTGGAGGGTTTATGCAACGAGCTTTTAATGGAGCTTCTAAATTAACAAAAGATTAGTAATTGGAACACTGGAGAATAATAAAGTGAAACACGAGGCAAAGTACTCGAAATAAATACACACGGTGCAAATCAATGACCGTAAGGGTTGAACACACGCGAGCCCCGACCGCAGTCCTGATGGCGGATCCATAGTTCACGACCGTAATTCGCGTTGCATGCGGTATGTCTAAAAAGCAGGTCTCCGGGATTCCACGTACCGTCTGGAAACCGTTAAACCGTCTCGAAAGCGGCGAGATTTCGGGCCGAATGACCGCCGGGGCGGGAGTTTGTCAGCTAAGTTTTCGTGAATTCAATTATCACGAGGAGGCGAGTCACGCGAATGCATATGCAACCGGGAATGCATGCACCGAATTGCGCCGGTACGTCGACTAAATTCGTTCTTAATGCATCGCGTGCCCTATCCGGCCGAGTATCTCTCGATTGTGGGTCAATGACCTGCCTCGATGAAAAGTTTCCACCGGTTACACGATAACGTACAGATTTCGACTGCGATTCCACCGAGATCTTCCACCCCCGCTCCACACATCGGTGTGAATTACTACAATGTACAGTGTCTGACAAAACTAACGGGAAAACTACTTCAGTGGCTTGTTTGTGGCATACTAAAATAGTGAAAATCACTACTAATGTCCTGGGG